TAAATAGTATAAAAATTTATAAGAATTTGGTGAAAAATATTTGAGAAAAAAAAAGTTCTGAACTTTTCACATCTCATGAAAGAGAAAATTTTTCCAATTCTAAAAGTGTCACTTTTCCCTACTCAATTGAATCAAATTCTGTTCCATAATAAGGTCAAAATCATCATATCTATGCTATGAAAGAATATGAAAAGACGAAGGTGAAAATATTAATAATAACTCTGATTCCAAGTTGAATTAAAAAATTCATGGAAAATTTCAAAATCTAAAGTTCCAGTTCGATCCAATTAACATGTAACATTTTCTTAAACCTTTGATTCTCATCAATTCAGATTATTGTCTTGAATGAGTTAACTTTTCACTCTGTTCATTGATACTCTAATGGTGATAATATAAGTAATAATCAACTCAGAATTATTACTTCCGGTGAATAATTATCATATCACATTGAATTAACTATTGATACAGAAAAAAAGTACATATAATTAGGATCAAGTTAATATAATTTTCTACATGATAATAATCATCCACACCCAATGGTCATCATGAAAATACTCAATGAAACGACAATGATATTTACAGTGTTCTGGGTATAATGGGTATTCAAGTAAATAATAGTAAATAAGATCAAACAAGAATCATTGAATTGATATCATCCTCTTTCAATAGGCAAGATTGTTTTCTCATCATAAATAATATCATCATCATCATCATCATCTATTCCTATTCAAACATGGTGAAGATTGAGTAGGAAACAAACGATGATGATGACGATAATGTTGATAATATTGATATTCCTTGAATGGACAAAGATAATGCAAAAATAATCATTTGTTTTTATTGATATATTGCCTATTCCTATGTGTATTTGGGTGGGTGAATTAAAGTGTAAATCTTACCTTGTTTCAATTGGATATTATTTCTGAACCAAGTTAATTTGGTTTCCGGTTTAGTTAATGAGCTAGTATTACAATTTAAGGTTATCCTTTGAGCTTCTTTGGCGTATATTGTGTAATGATGTTTCCTGGTTTCACTGGAAGAGATTAAACTTGGATAATTGTTGAAATGATTAGAATCAGATTTCAATTGGATTGAATTATCTTCGGAATTAGTTGAGGTGGAAGATATTGTGAAAGATGATGGTGAAGGCAACGATGATGAATGATGAATATTATGATGAGGAGTTTTGGAAGATCCTTTTAAAACTGGAGCGGAAGATAAAATGAGAACCTCCTTTGGTCCAGCTGATAAAGAATTAGAAGTTTTTTTAGTTAGAACTTTTTGTTTACAAATCGAAATTGGTAAAACCGAAATTCGAAATTAGTTATGAACGATAACAATTAACTGATAATCATTTATGCTGTTTATTTGTTTACTCTGTTGATAAATTTACTTTTGGGTTGACAGTTTTACCTTCAATTCATTCAAAATTCATGATAATCTTAACTTATGAGAGATTAGAGATTGAATTTTAGTTGGAGTTTTGAACGTAAACTTTTTGTTCAGATTATTTTTCTAGGAATTTAGTACATGGGAGCGGAAACGGATGTGCAAAAAAAAATAGAAGTGGGAAATAAGTAGGAAACGGAAGGAAGAAAAAAAGATTGAAATAGAAGAAATTTTTTTTTTCTTCAATTTTGTTCGACAAACAATAAATCAAAAGGTTATCACGATAACAATAGAAACACTATGGATACGATTTTTCTTCATGATAACTAAACATTTCCAGTAAACTCGCTAAGAACAATTGTTATCTACAATAGTTGAATGAGTTTAGTTAATAGACTAAGGAAAACTTTTTTTTTTAGATTGAATGGAAATTAATTGTTGCTAATTAGACTAATTGTCGGATGGCAGCAATTTAGAAAGAAAGAATATGAATAATTTAAAATTTTAATAATAAGAGAATTTTTCGAAATTGGATTCATATTCTGTTCGCCATGAACCCTTTTTGTTAATGGAAATATTAATGATGAAAATGAATAAAAGGAGAAGGAAAAAAGTCAATATTGAATTGGAAGAAAGTTCTGATTCATAAGGAATTCCGCTGAATTACCATGATCATGATAATGACAAATATAAATATTTTTCAATGATAACCTGAAGGATAGATTGGTGAGTATTCAAAGAGTGAGAAAGATGATGAGTAAGAAGGTAGATTTGATAACACTATTTTTTTATCAACCTGAGCTCAGAAATGATTCTGAAAGTTATGAGTTTGAGAGAGAGAGAGAGAGAAAGAGAGAGAAACTCCGAAAAGTTCTGAAACTATTCAATATGTATTATTTACCGAATGAAAAAAGTAGAAACCTAGAAAAGAATCAACTAACAAAATTGAATTATATTTCTATACTTATATCATATTCTGGTTACATATTTATTCATTCATTCAGATAAAATTCAGATTCTGATCAGAGCTCAAAAGAGTGGATGGAATTGTAAAGAATCCCAACAAACAATGTATTCAAAAACTTACCTTTTAAAACTTACTATCCACCCTGAGGCTGTTCAAACCTGAGATTATGTACCATTGATACATTATTATTACAATGCTATGAAATTCTGAAGATAAACACTAATAGTTTTTTTAGAAATGCCGTAAAGCTCATAACCAGACTAACTGTTGAAGCCTAATGAAAAATCTCAAACTAACCAGCCAATTAACATATTCTTTCTCATAGAATGAGCTTTGTAATAAGTTATTGTTATCATGAATTCTGTCAGTTTTTATTATAAAATGATTATCGAAAACAATTTATGATATTCAATTCAAATTAACCCTTTTCAGCATCTTTAGAATCCAGGTAAACATTGAAATGTCTTATTTATCGTATCCTTATATTAATAAATTAACTTCTAAATCGTATAAACAGTTTCTAGTATTAAATTTTATCGAAATTTCTTCTTCGATTTCATTTTATCCTTGTCATGTTAGCTACAAGTAATATTTTCATGGTGAAATTCAATTTGATTCACTTGGTTGTGGTGAAAATTATTATCAAACTTACCCATCACAGTTAACTTTGAGCCTGAGCGTATTGGTTTGTTATTAAGAGCTGGACCAACCTAAATTTGGATTAAAGGATAATCGGATTAAGTTTAATTGATTTAGATTAACTGTTGGTTAATTGTGACGATTTTTCTTCTCTCTACCTGACATTGGTAATCTCCTTCATCTTCTAATTGGACGTTATTGATTCGTAAATTAAAAATTCCTAATGTTTGTTGCACTTTCATTGAATATCTCGGGAATCCTGGGATTTCAGGATCAAATCCTAACAATGAAAAAAAAATTCAACCGAGTCAATGACAATTACCATAGAATTACAATTAATAATTAATCGATGTGTAAAAACAATAATGACCAAGTAATTTAAATAAATTACCACCAATTACAAATTGCATATTGATGCAGTCACAACAACAATTTAACAGGCTAGTCGATTTGATTGAATTGATTGCGATGAATATTGGAAAAGCTTTTGACAACAACAATAGTATTAATAATATCCGAAGTTTAATAATCCAGGAAATGAGAACTCAATGAGGATTGAACTAAATAGGTAACTCAAGTGATGAGGATAATGGTGGAAAAAAAGATGCTTAAAATATGAGAAAAGAGAAAGGGTTAAATGATATCATCCTCATCACCATTGAAAAGATAATAATGATGAGGAAAATTAGGAAAAGATGAATAGATGACTTGTAATGATGTTAATCATTAATGAGTTTGTTTTGATTGTCAAAATTAATGAAAATTTGTGTTTGAAAATTTTACTTAGTCTAAACTAACCAGAATAACTATTATATAAAAAGATTGGTTATCGAGTGAGCGATAATTTAAAATTAGAACTTTCGATTCTTGTTCGAAAATAAAACGAAGGGAAATAAGTTTCGAACCTCTTTTTCAATCTTCTTCTTTATCCACAATTACCATTGATTCTTTGGATTAATTGAATGTAAAGAAAGAGAGGAAGAGAGGAAGAGATAATGTTGATGATAAAGGTAAATGTGATTCTTGAATGAAATTCACCCTGAATGAGCTTTTCTCTTCCCAGGATAATATTCAAGAAGGAAAACTAATTCAATGGTAAAAGATAACATGTAATCTCATCTAAATTTTTTATCTTCCCATTTTCAGCCTTTTCCTAAATTGAATTAAATTATTACCTTTGATTATTATGATTGTTATTCGTTTTACAATTAGATTAAATTTCAAGCTCAAATCAAATTGTTCACAATTTGATAGAAAAAGACTTAACAATTAAATGGTAATCAAATGCATCTTAAATTGCAAACAATAATGTAAATGAAAAATCCTCAATCCCGAGTTTGAAATTTGTTATCGTAGCAAAATTGAATCTCAATTCAAGTGTAACAATTAATAATCAATGATCCAGATAAATGAAATGATTACTTTTGTTGCTTCAAATGATCAACATATCTTTTTAATTAGTGTTAATTAGAAAATCATGTCACTCGGTGATTTAATTTCAATTAACTTTTCTTCATCCATGTAAAACAGGATAAACCAGGAAATGGATAACAAAAGTTAAGGCAAAAGAGAAAAGGTGAAAAAATTATCAACCTTTTGTTTCCCTTTGAACTTTTTTATAATGTAAACAAAAGATTGAACAAAATTCATCAATTCATTAGATTACAATTCAAATTGAAATTTAAATTCAATTCGACACTTTTAGGTTACAACATTTAAAGGAATCATTATCATGATGATAATATTTAAGGAGGAACAGGAATGAGAAAGTTGGTGAGAAAATCGGAAGAGGGAGAGCTCATGAGTTTTCTCATCTCATCAGAACTTTTTTCCCTAAAAGATTCAAGTTCTAATTCATTTGCATTACAATAGAGTGACAGTGAATTTAATTCCTAAAATGTTCAGCTCAAGATAATCCAAGTTAATTGTTGTTAAATTGTTTGAAATTAGAAGAGTTTTCACCTTCAAAATTTCAAAATTCATTGTCTAGTTTTGAATATTTCTTATTGAGCTCATGAAATTTGGCGATAACAGAATTTTTCATTTGCATTAATTGATATTTACAATCTTTTTGCTGTGATATTATAATATTAGTGTAGATTTGTTTCAATCCAAACAAAGATAAATAATAAGTATAATCAAATGCTTTGATTGTCTAATCTTTTTTGATAGGAATCATGGATTAGGATCAATAGATTAGCATTTGTCGTTTTTATTATATTACACTGGATAATCTTAGGAATTAGAATCAATATTTACCTAAAAGGAATCCATCCTTACTCCATTGAACTGAACCTTTCTGATTACCCACCGTGCATTCAAGTTCAACATCATCGCCCTCTGTAATTGTCATATCAACAGGAACCACCCGAAAAAATTGATTATCTGAATCTGTGGGCACAAGAAGATGAAAAAAAAGGAACAGAATTAGATTAGAAATAGCATATTGGAAAATAGAGATTACAAAATAACAATAAGAGTTTATATCAAGAGAAAGTTTCAATGGTAAATCTGATTTCATGATAATCTTGATGAGAAAATGAAATTTTGATTGTTATCATTGTATTTTCAAGTTTTTCAAACATAAAAGTTTACTAATAACATCAATTGTTATCAACAGATGATAATAGAGAGTCATCATCATCATCATATCGCTTATAGATGGGAGCTGATAGGTGATATCATGATGATGATGATTTTTTTTTCATTCAATTCTAATGTTATCTTGTTATCTGAATCATTATTACAACCTTGTGACATTGTAAATATTTATCTGAACAAGAATCAGGTTCAATGTGATAAGATAACATCAACAGGGAGTAACAACTCATAGAGATTTCACACCGGTGGAAGTCAGGGTGTGTTTCAATGAGATGAAGAGGAATAGAACAAGTAATAGAAGAGATAAAAAAATACTCCCAGAGAATCGTTTATGTTACCATGAGTAAGAAAAACAGAAGACGAAGGAGAGAAAAAAAAAAGTTCCAAAGGAAAGTTGAGGCTCATTAGCTGTTAAAAGCATCGGAGATACAATAACATGGTAAAAATAAAGAAGATGATGATAAAAGAGACAAGAGATAGTGGGAAAAAAGATGAAGATGATTTCCATCATCATTATCATCTTCATGGTAATGATTCACCATGGAAGTGAGAAGATGAAGAACTAGAAAAAAAAGATCCTCAAGAAAGAAAAGAAAATGCTTTTTTTGAGAAAGACTGTAATTGTCTCTCTTTTTTCACATTACTATTATTATTTTTCATTGTTATTTTATCATCATGGTGATGAATATGAGAGAGAGAGAGATGAGGTCTTGCTGAAAAAATTGGAAAACAATGGTTTGTGATAACTTAAGTTATCAATTGAAAATCAATGTTCACGAATCAAGTTCATTGTCTTATACCCTTGATAATCTTCATGGTTAAAGTTCAGGGTAAGAGATTGGAGATGATTTTCTTTCTCTTAAAATCATACAAATGGAAAAAATGGAGATTAGATGAAGAAAATAATGGTGATGATGATGGTGATGAGAGAGAGAGGATGAAAAAATGAGTTACAATTGATTATCATAATTATGAGATGAGAAGGAATAATATTATAAAGGAATAAGCTATTGAAGGTTGAGTCTTATCATGAAGATGATATTCAACATGGAATAGGTTGAAGAGGATAAATAGTGAACGATCAAGAAGAAGAGCAAGAGTGTGGTGGTTGCGATCAATTAAACAGGAATAGAGATGAGAAAGGACAAGGAAAAGCAAAAGCAAAAGAGACAGAAAGAGAAAGAGAGTGAAATATATAGCTATTTATTCAGCTAATTTCTGAAAATAATCTGGTTGGATTTTGGATAACACTTAGATTCACTTTCTCTTATTAGAAACAAAATATAATGATAATACACAAGGAGAGAGAGAGAGAGAAAGTATGTGAGAAAGTAAAAGATGGAGGAAGAGAAAAAATAGTTTCATATAATACTAATAATCTTAACGGAAATAAAATCTATCTTTCTCTCTTTCTCTCTTTGAGATTTTGGATGGTATGAGAGAGAAGCTTAAAGGAAGGATCAAAATGAGGTGGGAGTAGGTGGTGGGTAAGATTCTAATAGTATATAATCCTTGGCATCATTTTCTGGGAGGCAAATTGATCCCCAAATTAATGTAATGAGTTATCTGGTTGGATGTTGTATTAAAAGGAGGATGAGGTGCAAGTGAGTTCAGTGAGTGGGTGAGCCGAAGCAGAAAAAGGTAATTGCAAGTGAGAAGCTACTCTGAGTGAGAAAATATTAATTGGTGAGTAAAAAAAAGTTCATAAGCTTGAGTTTTGAAACAGTGATACCTAATTCCCTGTCCTTCTGCTCCCCATGCTCTCTTAAAACCAACTATCTCTCTGTTTCTCTCTCAATCTGATGAAATTCTTAAGATGATGAAGCTAAACTAATGTTATCGAACGGATAAGCCCACTTAGAACCTTATTTTTTCTCCAAGATTAATATTCGATAGCATCACTCCCAATGAGAATAATAAGACGAAACCTCTTCCTATTTCGATAATGATAATGATGATGATGATGATGATACACATCTTTTCATCTTCTTATTTTCTTCTAACATCATAACAACTCATCTTTCATCCTCATAGTCATTGATTTCATCAGTCATCCAGTTCGCTTTCTTATTTATTGTTTACCTTACTCAATTTACTATCATCATTTTCGGTTTCATGGTGAAAGTACATATAATATATTTAGATGATAATAATAGTAAAGATAATGATAATATTATCGTGTTCATGTTATAGCTTTTCTCCTAAAATATCTAAACCGATATGCTAATCAGATTAATAAATTATTCTCTTAATGCTAAAATCTTTGAAAATGATAATTCCTCAATCAATTGAATGAATAATATTTCTTACTAAATAACTTGTACTCAGAACATTTTCTCATAAAGAATTGACTTTCAAACAAAAATCGAAATGGAAAAGGTTATCGATATGTTGAATAGATCAGAACTTTTTTTGGGAAAAACATTTTTTTGAATCAATTTACAGGGGAACTGAATGAAACAGTCGTTGTGATATGAAACTATCGAAATCTCTTGGTGGTGATGAAATTTTTTCACAATTAAAAAATTGAATATCGTTAATCTCAACTGATTAACTTGATGATTAACTAACAACTTTTTGATTATATTGTATTGATTTTTTGTTCTCATAATCAACTCAAGTTCATTTTATTGTTTGAATTGTGTGGGAAGATGAAATTCAGGGTTTTCATGTAATAATCTCAGTAAACAAGACAGAAATTTGAATTGTATAATAATCAACAATTTACCTTAACTGGAAATTGAGTACATGATGTAATCAAATTTGGTGAAAAATTTAACAATTACAATTGATAAACAATAAGAGTGATTATTAAATATTGAGTTTCCGCCTTGACAATGTGAATAATAATTTTGCAAGATTAAATTGTAATCATTTCAATCAGCAGTGAATTAAAGTGAAAAAGAACAAAAAAAAGTTCCAAATTCAGTCTGAGAATTTTCAATAATCTGTAAGGCGTAAATTTGGAAACAATGTTTCAAATACAATAATCATCAGTTAAGGTTTTCTTCATGATAGATTATGTGGATTGGATGTTATCCATTTTGTTTTCTCCCCTGAAGAAAATCATCATTTTCTCATCATATTCTCAACGATAATGCTTCATAATCATTATCTCTATGTATCGATAATATGAAGAAAGATAAATTTTTGTTTTCGTTGTTTCTATCTGAGCGAGAGAGAAACAACAACAATTACCCTGGAGGCATTTCAATATCATCACGATTATCATCAGCATTAACCGTCATTGTCCATCATCTTTGAACACTTAGAAACTTTTTCCAGTCTCGAATTTGCTGGATTCAATTATATTTGTAGCGAAAAAAAATCATGATGGAAAAGGAGGGAAAAAGTTTCATGGTTATACCTTGGCATCAGGATTTCGAGTTCACCCTGAAACATTGAGTATGAAATGATAACATAATTTGAGTTTCAAGTTTCTGTGCTTTTTTCATGATAACATTGATTACTTTTCAACTTTTGCATGAATGTAATGTATACACACACAGGGAATTAATATTTTTTTCCTAATCACAATCAAGCCTAAGGGTGAATTTTTTGTCGTTTTTCTCGATGGAAAAAAACTCTCATGTTTGACTCATGATTGGTTGGGAATAGAAAATTTCTTCTGTTCCATGATAATTGTCTGAATAGAAAATGTGGAACTCAGCAAGTTCTGAGAGCCATTTTTCTAACAGAATCAAAATGTAATAAAATTCAAAAAAATCTCCATAGTTATGAAGTTAGTTCAGAAGTTTTTATTCATTCATTTTACTATTTTTCATGAAATTTGATAACAAATCCAGACAAATAAAAACCCTTGTTCGTATAACTTTCATGGTAATTATGAATCTACCTTGTTAAATATATAATTTGAACTTTATTTGCCGAGAATTGAGAAATTGAGACATCATATTTTTGATCGGAATTTTCTATAGAATTTATATAAGTCTTCATGAGAAGATAAAATAAACTTTTTCCCTCTGAACGACGATTAGGTTACTTTTAACTTCGAATGCAACAGAATTGAAAAAATCCTGGAAAAACTCTGATGGAATTCATGAGAAATATATACTGTTTTTAGCTCCCATGAGAGATCATGGTAATCATGAAATAATATTCATCATAATAGATACAATCAACTTGAAATAATACGAAACAATTTATCATTTCAAGTGATTTAGATGATTACATTTCACCATTCACTCTGTCACTGATTAGCTAATGAAATGAAACTTGATCTTAATCTGTCATGCTAATGATTGATAATACTATTTACTAATTTATATCAAGAAAAAAAATCTCTGGATGTAATTAAAATCAATTGTTGATTCTAGAGAGTCTCAGAGTTCATGGTAGAACATTCAATCTGAATAACAATCAGAACTCTGAGGAAAGAAAAAGAAAAATTTAGCTCTGATTAACTAATGGAATGAAGTAATCTCCGTGATATATGTGTAGAGAAACATATGAGTCTGATTTCTGAATTTTTAATGGTTTTTAATGGAAAATTCTGATAATCATGATAAAGAAAGCAACTTATGAAACATTGGCCTGAAATTGGAAAAGATTCATGGTATTTTCTCAGGTCATTCATCATGGAATATTATTCTCTTTTCTCTTTTTTTTCATGCGATTCTATCTGATTCTAAAACATGAGAGGTCATATTTTCATTTCCATTATCTAATATTCACTTGGAATTGTTTCCATGAAAATCGTATTCTTGAGATGTGAATGTTTTCCTTCATCAAGCTGATGAGAGATTTTTCTGAATTCGTAAGAGTT